ATATTCTTGAGTAGACTGATGGTTGATTTTGTGAATGCGAATCAGCTGTGCGCTGCCGAGTGGCTCATGCCTTTTGCAGATATTGATGGCCATAGCTGTATGTCCTTTTAGGAGTAAAGCTGTTGCTCAGGAAGGGGCTGCATCGGTGTTTCACGCAGATGGACTCTGGTTTCTCCAGCCTGTAAAGTGGAGGTGCTTCTGGCGAAAGAGAAGTTAATGAGCCCTTCAGCCACTTTGGGCTTCTTGTGGAACCTTCTAGAAACTGCTGGGGGAGCCGGGGGTACTGAGTTGCCAAATCTGGGCTGACACATCAGATGGACAGAACTCTGGAGCAGCATTCAGGTTATCCAGTTTAGGAGGACTTGAAGGAAAAGAGGTCATGCCGGTGTGTTTGGTGGAACTGCTGCAAACCCCAGAAGAAACTTTGAGATTAGTCTCTGGAGCGATGTCACCTTTCCAGAACACCAGCAGTCCTGTGATCCTGCGGGTAGAGCAAAATGTGACATTGAGGAACCAGGGAATATCTGAGTCCTTTGGGGACCGTTCCCCTAAACCTAGCACTTGAAGTCTCAAAATTAAAGCAACTGTCTTTGGCTAGGCAGAAAATGATACTCAATTCTTGGTCAGAAGCAAAGTTCTACATGACTAAGCTTCCTAATTGAGGGCCCCATTTATTGACTTACTTAAAGCCATATCGTGATTTTCATAATCCATCTCCTCTTAGAATCCTAGAATGTTAAAATGAGGTAGAAGAGACCTTGGAAATGGTCATAGTCCCGCCTTCTCATTTTACAGAGGCCCAGAGAGGTCATGAGGTGAGTAGGGCACACACAGCATTGTAGCGTCAGGGACCGCGTTGCTCTTCAGTTTCTTTGTTGTCATAGGTCACCTGGGGTCAGAGGTCAGAAGCTGTACAGACTGGTGAAACGGGAACGTTTCAAAGGCATGGCAAATGCACTGACATGCACTGTTAGCCTTTAAAATGCTTCTTGCTCACGCATCCTATAAATACCTGGAGAATTCCAGTCAAATACTTTGATTGGTAAAATATTGCACTGGCCTTTTTGGAATAGCTAAAATTGTTCCCGCTGCTTACGTACATGACTCGGTCATAGCACCATTCCTATTGCTAACTGGTTATTTTTTTCCAGGCAGTTTGGTTGGGAGTAGTTTGTTTTCCAAGCAGTGCGCCTGTTTCAGTTTATTGACTTTGATACCCTGTCTTTTGTAACTGACTGTCTTTAACTAACACGCCTCTCCTACTTTATCCCCAAAGTATTGAGATGTGTGGAAAACATGGCACTAGCCGGGCGTGTTGGCTCACGCCTGTAATCCCAACAGTTTGGGAGGTCGAGGCAGGCGGATTGCCTGAGCTCAGGAGTTCACCATCAGCCTGGGCAACACGGTGAAACCCCGTCTTTACTAAAAAAAACCCACAAAAAATTAGCCGGGCATGGTGGCATGCACCCGTAGTCCCAGCTACTGGGGAGGCTGAGGCAAGAGAATTGCTTGAACCTGGAACCTGGGAGGTGGAGGTTGCAGTGAGCCTAGATCATGCCACTGCACTCCACCCTGAGTGACAGAGCAAGACTTCATCTTAAAAAAAAAAAAAAAAAAGAAAGAAAAAAGAAAAAAAAGTGCGGTGCTGTGCACTTTATCAACATTCTCTAAATACTGGTTCAGAGAGTGAATACCATCCTATCCAGATGGGTCTCTGTGTTAATTTCTTCACTTTTTTTTTTTTTTTTTTTTTTTTACTATGGTAGGGGGTTTCAAAAAATTCTGTATATTTAGGGAGAATATTAGCTGTGTAATTTTTTGTTTTTGTCATCTAGCTTGAATGGAGTCTTAAACAAAAAATTCTCAAGCTTACCAAAAGGCTGGGAGAGGTTTTGTAAATTGAATATGAGGTTATTGTTTGGGTCCACAAAACAAAGCCCTAAATCACATTTAGCATAATTGGTGGTTTTAAATTGGACTGATTTAGCAAGGAGAGTGAAATAATCTCTCATCCTGTCAAAAGGGCGATACCTTTAGACCAGCATTTAATTGCATTGGCAGAGTAACTTCGGGAAGAAGGCAGTGATTCTGGCTGCATTATTCTTGGTTTGTGGCTAAATTGAGATCATCATTTTCTCCTGGTTTCACTAACTTTCCTTATTGCTCTTCGAACTAATCAGATGAATGCTTAGTGGTAGCTGGAGGGTGGCCAGGGGAGGGATGTCTGTGGGCAGCGGCACTGTATACACTTTATGATCTGGGAGAGAAGATGACATCCACTGTGACCCAGAAGGCACAGCCTGGTGATTTTTTCTTTTCTCTTTTTTTTTTTTTTGAGACAGAGTTTTACTCTTGTTGCCCAGGCTGGAGTGCAATGGCATGATCTCAGCCCACTGCAACCTCTGCCTCCTGGGTTCAGATGATTTTCCTGCTTCAGCATCCCAAGTAGCTGGGATGACAGGTGGCTGCCACCACGCCTGGCTAATTTTTGTATCTCTAGTACAGTTGTGGTTCACCATGCTAGTCAGGCTGGTCTCGAACTCCTGACCTCAGAAAATCCACCCGCCTGGGCCTTGCAAAATGCTGGGATTACAGGCATTGAGGCACCGCGCAGGCCCCGGTGATTTCCTTAGTAATCACTTATGCAAGGCGAACGCCATGCATTTGCACAGAAGTGTTCCATGGGCTGTGCACCTAAGAATGTGCATTTGCAGCCGCATTGTACAGGTGGGGTTCATTTGCATTCCTGCAGGTATCCAAGAGGGTTGTGGAGGAGCTTCCAGCTGTCCAATTACTTGAAAACCTGTTCTTTTATCAGCACCTGCTTCAGAAGCTCATCCAAGGGCTGCTCACTAGACCACTGCTCTCTGACCGTGTGCCCAGGTTCAGAGTAATCCACATTCTTCCAGTGAAAGCATTTCTTTTCTTCTTCTTTCTTTCTTTCTTTCTTTCTTCTTCCTTCTTCCTGCTTCTTCCTTCTTCTTCTTTTTTTGAGATGGAGTCTCGCTCTGTCTCCCAGGCCAAGTGCAATGGCGAAATCTCGGCTCACTGCAAGTTCCACCCTCCCTGGTTCAAGCAGTTATCCTGCCTCAGTCTCCCAAATAACTGGGATTACAAATGCATACCACTGTGCCTGGCTAATTTTTCTATTTTTTAGTAGAGACGGGTTTCGCCATGTTGACCAGGCTGGTTTTGAACGCCTGACCTCGGGTGATCCGCCTCCCTAGGCCTCTCAAAGAAAATGTGGGCATGAGCCACCATGCCCGGCTGAAAGCACTTCTTTTACCTTTCACCAGGCCATCCCTCCAGATGAAATCAGGTCAGCAATGCCCTAGACATTTCAGAAAGCTGCAAATGATGACCCGAAACTCTAATGAGCAATGTGCCTGTCCCTTTACCTTTGTTCCCCTGGGAGTTATCAGTTGGTCTTGAAATGGCTAGCTGCTTAAACATTTTAGATGTATGTTCGGCATTGTACACACACCTTTGTAGTGGTTCTGATCACAGGTGCTCCTGGATCGGAGTTTAGGTCTGACTGCAGGCAGGCAGGTTGGTTTTCCGGCTTCCTTGGGCATCCCTGGAGGAAGCAGATGGGATGGGAAGTAAACCTGACTGATAAGAGAGACATCGCACTTTCTTGGGCTGGGCTCTGGGCTCCTGTTCATGTTTTTAGTTACCTGGGTGGTCTTGGTATCAGAGTTTACATGAACCACGGCCAAGTGTATCACCCATACAAATGTTTGTAGAAAGATTGAATAGCAAGTGAGATAGATGATGTATTACAGTCTGTGGAAAGTCCTTCTGCCAATTTATAGTTTGTGCTTTTGAGATGAAGATGCCTTTGACTTTTGCACTTGTCTTTTCAAGTATATACCTGCTAGGGAAGGAGGAACCTTTCAGGTCCCCGGTGGTTGATTTTCACCTTTGATCTGCATGCTAGTATTCATAGCATGCTGCTGAGTTGATTTTTTGTATTTCTATATAATAACAGTGTATCGATCTGTTGCTAATCTGATGTAACCTTTGTGTGTGTCTGTTTGTATGTATGTGTGTGTATCTGTATGTGTGTGTGTGTGTGATATTGATCAAGATACCTTACTCCAGAGGCCAGAATCAGAAACTAGGGAGGTGGAATTTTTCATCATTTAAAATTGAGCTTATCTTGTTATTAATGTAATGTTAAGAGGACAGCTCTTCAGATACTGGGTTATTTAAACTCCTTCAATGTACATCTCCCAGGAAGCGATTTGGAGGTTGCCATCTTTCTTCTGATGGTAATGCAAGAAAACCAAAAGGAAAAATCGAAACAACAGCACTGATAAGATTCTGTATGACAACTATAAGTATACATGCTTTATAATATCCACTTTTATAGGCTGCTTACGGTACGGAAATTCTCTTTGGTGCATTTCTGTTCTGTTTCTCTCCTCTTTGTCCATCTGAAACAAACTATGCCAAGCACTTAGCTAGTCATATTTAAAGAAGCATTTCAGTGGCCACTCAGAAGTGAGTGACTGCTTATGAAAAACTTAAAAAAAAAAAATAAGACCAATATGTGAATTCGATGGTCCTTTTGGAGTTTTCATCTTTCTTTGCTTTGAAAGAAAAACAAGGCTGGGCGTGGTGGCTCATGCCTGTAATTCCAGCACTTTGGAAGGCTGAGGTGGATAAATCACAAGGTAAGGAGTTCGAGACCAGCCTGGCCACCATGGTGAAATCCTGTGTCTATTGAAAATACAAAAAAATTAGCTGGGGGTAGTGGCGGGCGCCTGTAATCCAGCTACTTGGGAGCCTGAGGCAGGAGAATGTTTGAACCCTGGAGGGAGAGATTGCAGTGAGCTGAGATCACACCACTGTACTCCAGCCTGGGTAACAGAGTGAGACTCTATCCCCCGCCAACCCCCCCCCCCAAAAAAAAAGAAAAGAAAAACAAAACGTACTGACATCCCTTGCTAGGAGTTACGGTCCCAGATTCACACTCAGCATTATTTTTCCCATAGCGGTGCCACCAAACGTAGCAGAACTGAAGAATTTGGAAGTGCTCAACTTTTTTAATAACCAGATCGAGGAGCTGCCCACACAGATCAGCAGCCTTCAAAAACTCAAACACCTGAACCTTGGGTGAGTATCAGTGGAGTGGAAAGAACGGAGAGGAAGAGAGTGGGAGGGGAGTGCTGGGGCCAGGGGAGGGATTCCATTTCTATTACTCCACAGAAGTGGAGTTCTAATTTCTTTTTATGTTTTGGGTTTTAAAAAAAGTTTTATTGTTTTAATATATCCTTTCAGGGGCCTACATTAGTGAATATTGGAGAGCTCATCAAGAAGCTAATTGTGGGTGCAATAAGGAAGTTAAATTTTTACTGTATTTTGTGTCCAGTAAAATTTTATCTCAGTTCTGTTGACCGAGAAGGGACTGATTTGCATAGCACGAACTGGCACACAGGTTGTAATGTGGCTGATTTTCTTTCTCTCTGTGTTACATAGCAGTAGTTGACAAAGGAACTTCATGCCTCGGAGGGAAGAAGATATTTTCTTTATTTTTTTTTTTTTTTGAGACGGAGTTTTGCTCTTGTTACCCAGGCTGGAGTGCAATGGCGCGATCTCGGCTCACCACAACCTCCGCCTCCTGGGTTCAGGCAATTCTCCTGCCTCAGCCTCCTGAGTAGCTGGGATTACAGGCACACACCACCATGCCCAGCTAATTTTGTGTATTTTTGGTAGAGACGGAGTTTCAGCATGTTGACCAGGATGGTCTCGATCTCTTGACCTCGTGATCCACCCGCCTCAGCCTCCCAAAGTGCTGGGATTACAGGCTTGAGCCACCGCGCCCGGCAGAGAAGATATTTTCTAATGCTGCTTCATTCGCTTTTGCAGTTCTTCTCTGTAGTTGAGTGATGGCAGTCCTCTGTCTTTCTTTATGCAAAGGTGAAGAGGGGAGTTTTGATTCAGCCGAGGTTGCAGAACCAGGGAGCAGTAAATAATAATAAGGATAACTTGGCCAGGTGTCGTGGCTCTTGCCTGTAATCCCAGCACTTTAGGAGGCTGAGGCAGGCAGATCACCTTAAGTAAGGAGTTTGAGATCAGCCTGGCCAACATGGTAAAACTCCATCTCTACAAAAAATACAAAAATTAGCCGGGTGTGGTAGCACGTGCCTGTAATCCCAGCTACTCAGGAGGCTGAGGCAGAAGAATTGCTTGAACCCGGGAGGTGGAGGTTGCTGTGAGCCAACATCACGCCATTGCAGTCCAGCCTAGGGGCCAAGAGTGAGACTTTGTCTTAATAATAATAATAATGATAACTTGTCTTCGAGAACTGCTTTGCAGCATTTGACCCTCCCAACATTTGTGAGGGAGGGAGGGCAGGTTTTAGAGCTTTCATTTTATACAGAGGAAGCCAAGCCTTTTTTTTTGAGATGTAGCCTTGCTGTGTCACCAGGCTGGAGTGTAGTGTCACGATCTCGGCTGACTGCAACCTTTAACTCCCTGGTCCAAGCGATTCTTCTGCCTCAGCCTCTTGAGTAGCTGGGATTATAGGCGCATGCCACCACACCCAACTCATTTTTGTATTTTTAGTAGAGACAGGATTTTGCCATGTTGGCCAGGATGGTCTTGATCTCCTGACTGCGTGATCCACCTGCTTTGGCCTCCCAAAGTGCTCGGATTACAGGTGTGAGCCACCGTGCCCGTCCAAGCCAAGCCACCGTGCCCGTCCAAGCCAAGCCTTTTCAAAGGGGCTAAAGGACTTGCTCCTAGTCACCCCTGAGGTTCGCGGCCAAGCTGGGCAGAGAACCTTATGGTTCTGTGTCTAAAGGCTCCATCAGACTCCACTGATAATGGTTTGGATTCTGTGTCCCTACCAAATCTCATGTGTAATTGTAATCCCTAGTGTTGGAGGTGGGGCCCCCTGGGAGGTGATTGGATCCTGGGAGTGGAGCTCTCCGGGATGGTTTAACAGCATCCCCTCTTGATGCTGTCCTTAGGATAGTGAGGGAGTCATTGTGAGACCTGGTTGTTTAAAAGCATGTAGCACCTTCCCCATCACGCTCTCCTGCTCCTGCCGTGTAGTACACATGCTCCTGCATCGCCTTCCACCATGAGTAAAAGCTACCTGAGGATTCTCCACAAGCAGCTGCTGCTAGGCTTCCTATACAGCCTGTAGAACCATGAGTCAGTTAAACCTCTTTTCTTGTAAGTTACCCAGCCTCAGGCACTCCTTTACAGCAGTGGGAGAACAGACAAATACATCCATAGACCCCCAACTGGAACTCGGGCATCAAGATTCCATTTTCATTGGCTCAGCTATCAGATGAAACTGCCCACTCATGCTTAAGTCTCTGTGTGAAGTTGTATATTTATTCAATTGTAGCCACTGAATGCTCTAGTTGAGTGAGTGGTTGATGGGGAGTGGCAATAGATGCTGGCCAGGTGTTTGCCAATTTAGTAGGAAACAGTAATGAAAAGATATTCATGGAGTGATTTTTAGTTCATTCTTTCCACAAGGAGCTTGGTCAGACACACTTATTTTGAAGTTCACTTGGGCTTAGGGACCAACTTTGTAAGATCCCTGGGCAGTCTTCATTCTTATGTCTGAGGGAAAGTGAAGTTAAAAGGAGGGAGAAACATCACTTTAGATGAGATAAGTTTTTTTTCTCCCTACAAATTTGGAGCCTGTATACCCATCTGGCAAAGCAGAAATGAAAAGATTCTCCATTTATATCTTGGTTTTACAGACTATTCTATCCTGATCTTTAATTTGTATGTGAGAAAGAAGCTAAAACTAGATATAGATATATATTCTTGCTGTTAATTTGTTCATTTATTAAATGAAATATGTATATATAATCTATATATATATAAACTCTCAGTCACTAGGAACAGTGCTTGGGACATACTGAGCAGTACCTAGTGTTAGCTGTTATTACCGTGATAATTGTCATATTTACTTTTTCATTGATTCTGTGACTATGTAAGTGACTATTCTATGTCAGGAATCTTGCTAGTAACTGGGAGCCAAGGTGAAAGTCATGGTCCCTGACCTTACCTATGGGGCAAGGCTGGCTAGAAACAGGAACAGACCAGTGAGGTCACTGATGTGCTGGTGATTGTGGACCAGCAGGGGGAGGAGGAAGACGGGGCGCACGCTAGTCTACAGGTGACATTTTCAGGAGCAGGTACACAGCAGGTAGCACTGGAGCCCTGACTCGATGCTTGAGAATTTCTCAGACTTACAAGTCGAAGGAAGGAAGGCATCTCAGGTTGAGAGAATGGCATATTTAAACACTCACAGCACTGCCGGCCTCGGGCCTGGGAATTGTCGGTTTTCTTGGCACTGTTGAGTTCAAAGTGTGAGGCAGGCAGCTTTAAGATCAGAAGTCAGGCTAGACATCAAATCCTGGATGTCTGCTGTTCAGAGAATGAGGATTTACCAAGTTCCCAACCGTGTATCAGGCATTGTTCTGGCTACTGACCATCCATCCCTGATGGAGTTTCCATTACAGTTGGGGAAGCCAACTATAAACAAACAAATGTTTATAATAATGACAGGGAGTCAGAAGTGCTAATGAAAGCCCTCTGTGCTGAATAAACAAGCTTCTCACGGGTGCATTGGCTCACGCTTCTAGTCCCAGCACTTTGGGAGGCTGAGGCTGGCAGGTCAGCTGAGGTCAGGAGTTTAAGAACAGCTTGGTCAACACAGTGAAACCTTGTCTCTACTAAAAATACAAAAGTTAGCTAAGTGTGGTGGCGCATGCCTGTGATCCAAGCTACTCTACCTGAGAGGCTGAGATAGGAGAATAATTTGAACTCAGGTAGCCAGAGGTTTTAGTGAGCTGAGATCACACCACTGCACTCCAGCCTGGGCAAAAGAGTGAGACTCCATCTCAAAAATAATTGCACCATTGCCCTCCAGCCTGGGCCAACAGAGTGAGACTCCATCTCATAAATACATACATACATACATACATACATACATACATAAATACATACATACATACGTACATAAATGAGCTCCAATTTTATACTGACCGTTGAGAAATTTGCATAGCAGAGTAGCAGATATGAGTTGAAGTGAGATTTTCCCATGAAAGATGAGTGTGGAGAAGAAAGTGGAGAGGTAAGCTAGAGGTTAGGAGACCAGTAAGAACACAAGCTTCTTGTCCCATGTGAACTAGGACAGTGACATTGGAAGCAGGGAGGGATTTTATATGAAGAATATGCAGGTGGTAACATTGACAGACAGTAACTGATCTGATGGAATGATACCTGTATTTCTGTATTGGGCAGCTGAAAAATATAGCCGATGGAGACAGGTTTGAGAAGAACATAATAAGCTCAGATTTTGTTCTGTTTGGTTTGAGGCACCATAGAACAGAGTCGTAAACTTCCTTTTCATTGAGTGCCTTCTTGTTCTCTTTGGAGTTGTTTACATTTTTAGCTGTCAGTGCTTTATTAATTGTGTAGAGCTTTTTGTATTCAATTACATAGCTACATAGATGGAGTTGTCAAAGTTTGAACAAAACTCCCAGTTCTTTGGGAAAGGAGCTAAGATGCGTTCAAGAAAGGATACCTGTGTCCTCAAATGGCATAAAGAATTATACCCCCGTTATAGGGAGGACTCCTTATTCCAAGGAGCCAGGGTGAAAGCATACTCTCAGGAGACCACAAAGCAGAGCTGGGAAGCCACATGTATGCATGATCCAAAAGGCACCATCAATCCAAATTTGCTTTCAAAAAATGTAAAGCCACATAGGTTCCCATGTCGATAATTATTTCTAGGATCACTTCACTGCAGGACTGCCATGCCCAACTATTCGGGAATAACATTTGACCTTGTTTGTTTCTAGAGCTTGTCTCATGAACACATAGAAGTTTTCCTCAAGTATTTATGGATTTGGATTATTTATTTATTTATTTGTAGAGATAGGGTCTTGCTCTATCTCCCAGGCTGGAGCAACAGCTCTCATTTCCTGAGAAGCCACATATAATCGGGTACTGGGGGCTTCACATATTTTCTCTCTCATCCTCCCAGTGATCCTGCCCTGAAGCTGTTGTCAACCTCATTTTATAGTTGAGCATGGGAGTTCAGTCAGGGTGGTAGCAAAAATATTAAGGGAAAAATATTAGAGAAAGTCATAGAAAATAGTCACAAACCTTCTTGGAAGGTCAAGAAGTTTGCATAGTTTCTGTAGAAATTTCAGCTGAAGGCAGCCTTATTCCCTCTACCTTTAGATGATAAGAAAAGCAAATATCTAGGAAATGTGGGGAAGTTTATCTGAATAACTTGTTTACTCATGAGGTCCTATAAATGAACCTTTGATCATACCAGATGGCTCTTTTTGGGGGAGATCGACCATGAATATTACCCACTAATGGTGTTTGGTTTAAGCCCCAGAACCTGTCCTTTAATCTCTACACTCTAGTGGTGTTGACTCAAACCTTTTGGCATTTAATATGTGCTGAATAAAGGCTGGAAAGGCCAGCGTGTTGGGGCTAGTGGCTGCTATCTCTTTAAAGCACTCTCCTCGAGTACCTGTGAGTGGCCCAGACACCCCAGCCCCCTCATTCCCTGTATTCTGTGTGTGGGTGAATTTATCTGTTATTGAGTCAGGGTCTGCAGGACATACCCCTGCAGGTGGTGACCCCAACAGTTGAGGAAATTGGGTCTCAGAGAAGGTTGAGTCTCGGAGTTACTTGGTCAAGATGACACAGCTAGCAAGTGCTGGAGCTGGACTCCTCACCCAGTGGTCTCTACCTTTTAAAGCTCCATTCTTTTCCTACCCCCACTGTAACGCTCATGGAAACCTTGATTGCTAGCAGTGTCTGAGCGGGGCTCTGAGCACAGAATTCTAACACAGGGAAATACGGATGGATGGAGATGGATGTTAGCACCTGCTGGGGGTAGGTGGGAACAGCCAGCTTGTTCCATCCTTCATTCTGCAGAGAGAGATGCCACCAGGTCACCATGCACATGGACTGGTGTCCAGAGTGGTGGTCAGAAGGCTCCGCAGTTCCTTGCCCGCTTTGTAGCTGGGGCTGTTGCTAGCAATTCTTCTGAAGTTTCAGCATTTGTTTAATTACGGGCTTCCTTTCTGCCCACCAGGGTGGTGTGCCTACTACTGTTACTGCTGTCAGCTGCACATGGGACTCTGCTGTGTTTCTTAAATATTGTAGATACTGGTTTGTCACTCAAAGGAAAAAGGAACCTGCAATTAAGTAGATTCTTGCCACCGGGAGGTGGAGGGGCTCTAGGCTTGCTCTGGGCTGGAGATTGAATGGGAGCGCTCTCTCAGGTAGTTGCCTCTTCCCTCTAAGCCTGTCTAACCATGGATTTCCTGTACCTAATGTTGTCAGAGTGTGTGTATTTGCAGAGAAAAATGTTAAGGAATCAGTAGTTTTCAAAAATGGGTAACCTAAAGCAGTGTTTGCAGACAGAAGCACCTACTGTGTGCTTCTCAGCCTTCCTCTCTTTCTCTGACTTGCAATTCTTTTCAGAATCCTTGTATCGGAGCCCAAGGGTCTGGAATGGCTTTGACCTCCATGAGGTACAGGGTGCTCCCAGACACGTGTCACCTTCCTCAGTCACTTCTGAAGTCTTTGCTCCTTACCCTCTCTCCTAGGCTGTTTTTTCATCTCAACATAGCATTAATTACAAGCTCCACCTTAGCTTTATTACAAGGTAGTTTGAGTGAACAAGCCAAGTACTTGACATAAATGTGCTTCCCAAATTGTGATTTGATGGAGAACGTTGGTTGTTGCTGTCATGGTGTTTGAGAGTCGCGGAGGTAGTTTTGCTGGATGTGGTCTGTCTGTGATGTTTTCTCCCGAGAGGGGAACCCATGTTTCCCTTTTGGTTTTGCTCTGTGCCTGCAGCTGCTTCTGATGAGGCCCGCTTGGTAGGGCTGGACCGAGCTGGATCTGTTAGGAGAAGGATCGATGGCTAGAATGATTTCTATTGTCACAGTCCCTTTCACCTTTCAGTATCTGTCCACTTTCATTAAAGTTTTCTTAAAAATTGGCTTTTAAGTATGCTCAAAGGGAACTGCATTAAGAAAAATAAGGGGCTTAAAGAAAAGGCTAAAAGGTAGTATAGAAATACATTCCCTTAGACTTCATTGGAGACATGCACGGACACACACGCCCCACGCTCCACACTCACATACCTTGTACACACACCACCCCACCACACCCCACACGTTATACACACATCATACCATATCATAGCACACCCATACCCCCAATACACACCACACACACACACCACCACAGTCCCACACCACACTGCACACACCACACTGCACACACCCCCATACACACCACACACACCACACCACACACACCACAACTCCCACACACATGTGACACTCCCATACACACACAGCACCACAGATAATACCATATACATACACACCCACACACACACCTTGTACACACACACACACACACACACACACACACACACCCTACACACAGTTGACCCTTGAGCAACACGTGGGTTAAGGGAGCCACACACTGACCCCGCTCCATGCAGTTGAAAATCCACACATAACTGTTGACTCTGAAGAAACTTAATTACTCATAGTTTACAGTTGACCAGAAGCCTTACCCAAAACATATGTAGTTGATTGACACATACTTTCTGTGTTACATGTGTTCTATACTGCACTCTTACAATAAAGTAAGCTAGAGAAAAGAAGTCGTTAAGAAAGTCATAAGGAAAAGAAAGTGCATTTGCTGTTGTTGAAGTGGAAGGGGATCATCTTACAGGTCTTCATCATCTTCATGTTGAGTGGGCTGAGGAGGGTTGGTCTTGCTGTCTCAGGGGCGGCAGAGGCAGAAGAAAAATATCCACGTGGCATCGGACCCAGGCATTTCAAACCCATGTTGCTCAACCGTCAGTTGTATGATTAAAAAAATGTTTCAGTTGTGATAAAAATACACACAAAACGCAGTCTTTGTAGTATACAGTCGAGTGGTGTGAAGTGTATTCACATTGTTGTTCAGCCCATCTCCAGAATTTTCTCATCTTGCAAACCTGAACCCGATACCATTAAACAGCATCTCTCCGTTTCCCGTTCCCTCCAGCCTCTAGCCATCACCATTCTAATTGAAGACAGTTTTGAATGTTAGCAGTTATAAAAAAAAAAAAAAAATTTTTCCTCCTAAAAGGAATGAATGAAATAAAGCAAAAATCTGAAAACTACAAAGCTTAATGTATGTATTTTGAGATATTATCACTACTTTCATAAGGAAGTTTTTCTTTACAAGAAAACTTGTAACATTTTGATATTTCATGATGGTTTGAGTTTTTGTGTAAAACATTGATTAAATATCACCATCGGAGAAAAATGACAAATCAGCAATTTTCAAATGTTTTAAAAACATATAACCTCTCTGACTAAAATCATTAGTCTAAATAGGACAAAATTCCTATCCTCTCTAAGAAAGTGAATTTTAAGCCTTCTCACCACAAAAGACAAAAAAAATGGCAAGCCTGTGAGGCAATGCATGTGTTAAATAGGGGTGATTTAAGCCATTCCACGATGGCTTATCCATATGTTAGAAGTATTATGTTGTACACCATAAATATGTACAATCTTTATTTGTCAATGTAAGTATTAAATAAATGCTTTTTAAAATTTTTTTTTAAAAAAGGATGAGCATGGTAGCTCATGCCTGTAATCCCAGCATTCTGGGAGGCCAAGGTGGGAGGATCGCTCAAGCTCTGGAGTTTGAGTCCAGCCTGAGCAACACGGCCAAACCCCATCTCTGCAAAAAATACAAATTATTAGTGGGTCATGACGGTGCGCGCCTGTGGTCCCAGCTACTTGGGTGGCTGAAGTGGAAGGATCGATTGAGCCCAGGGAGGTCAAGGCTACAGCGAGCTGAGATCATGTCACTGCCCTTCACAGCCTGGGCAACAGAGCAAGACCGTGTCTCAGAAAAATAAAAAATAAAGTATAAAGTGACTCGAGGATCATGGCACTGTCTTATGCTTTCAGCCTGTGAAACAGAGGTGTTCTCGATAGCCTGTATAAACGTGTCTTTGGTGTCGTGATGTGGATTTTTGTCTCTTTCAACAGCATGAACAGGCTGAACACTTTGCCACGAGGCTTCGGCTCCCTGCCAGCTCTTGAGGTTCTGGACTTGACTTACAACAACTTGAACGAAAATTCTCTTCCTGGAAACTTCTTCTACCTGAGTAAGAAACTTTCAATTCTATAAATCTCCTCAACACTGTACTTTGCATTCTAAGAGCGAAATTTATTTGCCGGGACCCAAACTCCAAGAGAAATTATTGGACAGAGATAATTTTTTCTTTAGAGACTCCTTTTGAATATTCCTTCGTAGCTCAGCAGTATGTGTGTTTGATATATCGTTATGTGACACCATTGGGCTGAAGTGGACTCAGTAATGTCATATTAACATTCTGAGAGAGATCATATACCTAAATGAGATCAAGTCTCACATTTAGCTAAGATTTAGCTAAGAGACGACTTTCTTTTTAAATAGCATGCCAAAAAAAAAAAAGTATCCTCCCATGTTGCTATTACTTCTTTTAGGACATTTACCCAGAATATTTCAATTATTTATAAATTATTTATTAATAAATCACAAAAAGAATTTAAAAATTGTTCAGCCTTTTAAAAAGTACTCTTATCCAGCACACAGGCACTAAGAAATTATTAGCCACAGGTGAACACATTTTATTGTTTTATATGCAAACAAATTTCTTGCTGAAGATTTTTTGAAAATTAAAAAAGATGTCTTCTGGGACGACATGCAATATTTCAGGAAAGGTTTGCTTTGCTTAAATGAGCGTTCTGTTTCTTCTAATAGTAACTTATATGGCATTCAAAAAATCTGAGTTTTCTGAGCTGGTCTCTAAAATTTTACTTTTTACCTTATGTACATTATCTATGACTTTTCTCAAGTGCATGAAACCAACTGTAAAATATTTTCTTGGGCGGTGGATCAACTGTTTTTATTGTTTTATTAGCATCCAGTTCTTGGGATTCTGAGCTTGTAGCTCACTTTAAAGTGTAGATCACTTTAGGCTAGGAGTTTTAAGACCAGCCTGGGCAACATAGACCCTGTCTCTAGAAATAAAAGTTAAAAAATTTGCCAGGCATAGTACCTTGTGCCTGTAATCTCAGCTACTTGGGAGGCTGAGGTACGAAGATTGCTTGAGGCCGGACGTTCAAAGCTGCAGTGACCCACTGCACTCCAGCCTAGGTGACAGAGTGAGACTCTGTCTCTCGAAAATAAATAAATACTGGTAAACAAAACATACTCCGCTTTTTTGGTTGAGATGCTTTAGAATTTTAGCCTTCAGTAGTTTGGAGTCGTAATATCATTGTGTAATAATTGTGAACAAATTTCTGACTGCTGATATTCTGTTGAAGTTAGGATTTACTCTGTTAACTTCATGTCATCATTTTAGCCCCTTTGTCTTCATTTATTTTTGTCCTTCAGGCTGTAAAAACAAGTAGTAATAATTAGTCTGATTACGGAATTGATGAGCTGTGGTGATAGCCTCCATCACCAGAAAGCCTTTCATTAATTTTTCACACAGTGCTGTTTACATAGGAAAAGGTCTAGTTTAACATAGCTGTATTCACTTGAAGGAACCTTCCTGCCGTAGGCATCCATAAAAGTGGCACAGTAGTTTCCTTTGTCTTACTTTGGATGCATACGGAGAAATAAATGGGAATCAAAAGTAATCCATGAGAAAAAAATAGCAGTCTTCTCTGAAAATGTGTTGAAACTCTTTGCCCCAAAATACGAGTGCCCACAGTTGTTAACTGCATCAGTCCTCTTGGATATAGATGTTTTCCTGGACACACCGGCTACACAATAAGCCAGTAAATCTAAGTGTGACCTGCTTGTTATTATTGGGAGCCCTAGGTATGTCAAAGGCTTTTCACCAAGCCAGGGTTATTAATCAAAGCTGACTCCCTCGTATTGATCAGACCTCAACTGGTTGGGTTCCGTGCCACCCTGTTTATATATTGCTGTTTAATTTGCAGCCACCCTGCGTGCACTCTATCTAAGTGACAACGATTTTGAAATCCTGCCGCCAGATATCGGGAAGCTCACAAAGTTGCAGATAGTAAGTAATTTATCTAAATTCTTAGAAAATCAATTCGCTGCTGCAGCCTTGTAGGGGTAGAATCAAGTCAATTTGAGCCAGAGTAGGGTTTGTTTTGCGGGAATAAACCACTACCCCTGATAGTGTTTCTTGTTTATCCACCGACACTTGTAAATAAATGGAAAGGATTACGCTTTCATGAAAGAGAGGACATGGAAGAGGTTGGGAGTTTCTGTGGAGCACCTTTTAATGTGAAAATGTGTTGACCACTCCTTGTTTTCTTCTGTTTAGCTCAGCCTTAGGGATAATGACCTGATCTCGCTGCCTAAGGAAATCGGGGAGCTGACCCAGCTTAAAGAGCTCCACATTCAGGGGAACCGCCTCACCGTTCTGCCCCCAGAACTAGGTAAGGTTGCTGATGAATGAACTTAGTTCTTGGTTTCATGCGTAACAGTTACCCCAGTGTAGCAGTTCTGAACAGCCTCTCTCCTCTTCTCGGCAACTGCTCTCCACCTAGGCACCCAGTTCTGATCATTTGAGCACCATTTGTCATTGACCAGAGTGCAGGGGTTATAGGTTTGACCTTCCCTGGTGCTGTGTTCCGCAGCTGTAGTGTCTCGTGTCTTAGAAACTGCTGATGAAAGATGACCTCGCTCAGCTCCCTGCGTGCGGTAGTGGAAAAAGCATGGGATTAGTAGTAAGAGTCTTATCCGTGCATAGCTCCTCATTGACTAACTGGGTAAGCTTTCCGGGTCTTGGTTGGTTATTAATAACTTTATCTAAGCATCACTTTTACTTTTTAACTCCTTAATTTTTTACTGACCTGGAAAAACTTTTACCAAATAGTTAAAGTAGATGTTACAGCTACTTAAAGGGGTCAGTACCTCTGCCATTCGTAAATTCGCCTCTCTCCTGATCCCATCTGTAGTAGCAATTGTTAAATATGTTCTTGCTGGGAATTCCTTGGTCCTACTCCTGGCTGCTGGATCCTAATCCTCTGCCAGGTCATTCCTATTTCCAGAGTGGGTTATACTCTGGAGGTTATTTCCCCACCAGAAGTAACTTCCAAGCCAGTGATTCTGTTGCTGCTTCGTTTCACTGCAAAAGGTTCAGAAGTTCCCTTTTCTCATGCAGACCCTCTATAGCGTCTAATTTCTTCAGTCCTTTGAATCACATTGTTTTCTGAAACTGTGATTATGTGCTTTTCTGCTCCAAAGTACCATCATTTTTAAGAAACACATTGAGGAAGCAGTTCTTCGTTTATTTATTTATTTTCTTTTGAGATGGAATTTTGCTTTTGTTGCCCGGGCTGGAGTGCAGTGGCGCCATCTCAGCCCAGGACAACCTCCACCTCCTGGGTTCAAGCGGTTCTCTGCCTCAGCCTTCTGAGTAGCTGGGATTACAGGCATTCACCACCAGGCCTGGCTAATTTTGTATTTTTAGTAGTGACGGGGTTTCTCATGTTGGTCAGGCTGGTCTCAAACTCCTCACCTTGTGATCCACCCGCCTAGGCCTCCCAGAGGGCTGGGATTACAGGCTTGAGCCACTGCGCCCAGCGAGGAAGCAGTTCTTTAAACAAGTCTGGCAGTTTGAAGAGGCCATTTGTTAGAAATTAGAATGCAAGCACCAGAAGGGCAGGGGCATCTTTGCCTTTGTTCCCTAGAGTGCATTAGGTGCCCAGAAAATTGAATGAATGAATGAATGAATGAAGCAAGGACCTTACATGGCAGGGCGTTAGGAAAGTTACCAGCAGACTGATGTGGCTAATGGTTACGCATAGGAAGACGGAGATGCAGAACACGCCCATCAGCACCGAGGATTCTGCTGACAGCCATATTAGTCTAAAGGGAAGGCAGTCATATGATTTCATGGAACAAATGGAAAGCCCCATCCCCTCTCATCCCATTTCCCTTAGCTCTCTTGTTAGTATTAGAAGACCAGAGGATATTTAATGATTTTTTTAAGGGCTGAGGAGCAACTCAACATTTCTTTTTATTGAGTTGCAAGTTAGTCAAGTGTTGCTTTGGGAGCAGAATTACAGATTCAAGAAATGCTTTTTGCAAACATTTTCAAGGCAAAACACTTCTTGTCAAAGGAGAGATCTTGCTCTGGGCACGGTGGCTCACACTTGTAATCCCAGCACTTTGGGGGGCCAAAGTGGGTGGATCACTTGAGCCTAGGAGTTTGAGACCAGCCTGGTCAACGTGGTGAAACCCCATCTGTACAAAAAGTACAAAAACTGAGCTGGGCATGGTGGTACATTCCGGTTCCTAGCTACTCGGGAGATTGAGATGGGAGGATCACCTGAGCCTGGGAGGTCAAAGCTGCAGTGAGCCGTGATCGTGCCACTGCACTCCAGCCTGGGTGACAGAACAAGATGTTATCAAAAAGGAAAAAGAAAAAAAGCAAAAAAGATCTCGCACAATGGTTAATAACCACAGATGTTAGCATCAGTAATAGCTGGGAAGCTTCTGCAGCACTCAAATACTTGATACCTCCCCAACCCACTAAATCAGGATCTCTGTGTGTGAGGTGAATTCTTGTGTAACTTGGTGTAAAACTCACTCAGTGCCTCTGAAATGTGTCCTTAATTAGCATGGTTAGTAGAAACAGAAAAATAAATGTGTATTTTGATGTCATTTGATCCTGTTTCATTTTTCAAGCAGTGAGGCAACATAAGATATTAGATTAAACAATTATTTTATCAGATGGTAATTTGCCACAAAAATGCCTAGTTGAACCTACACATGCCTGTGTATACATTTTACAGTCTTACTCATTTTGCTTATCTTATTTAAATACTACATGAGGTCATATTTGTTCAACATTTCTGTTAAGCTTTCCATTAACAAATCGTGTATATTTTTATTCAGGTGTAGAATTGAGGGGGAAGGCTTTAAATGACTTTATTTTTGCCAGCCATATGTAGAGAATCTTACTCTTAACATTTGCCTGGTAGCAGTTTTTCCTGATGATAGACAAGCACTTAGTTGTAAGTAATTGATAAACCTATAGAAGTCACTGTCACAGGCTAAACTCAAGATTAAAACAAATGTACTATTTATTTTTGAATGATTTTTTTTTAAGTTAATATTATTCTAGTAACACCTGTTATAATAATAGGTAGTATGTAATAAGGCCTTGAATAGCATGGCAGTATGATAAGTGTTTTTCCTGCAATATCGCCTATAATTATCATAAGAATTAAAAGCGGACTTTATAGAGGTGAGGAGAGGACACTGAGGGGTAGAGAGGGTTGGTTGGTGACATGTCTGTGGGAACACAGTGAGTGAGTCACAGAGGTGAGATTGGAACCTGGCAGTCCCTCCTCTGAGGGATCACCAGCTTCCTGATCACAGTGAGGTCCTCTTTCCCACCTATATGCTGGTAAGATGATTCCTAGAAATGCAGTTTTCAAGTTTGAACAAAACACAACCCTGGCACACCCTCCGGAAATGGCAGGCGGAGGGATGTTGCGGAATGGTGAGTTTGGGTGGGCTTTGCTGGTGTGTGAGCAAGGCTTGCGTAACACTTTCCAAAATGCAGCTGAGGTGGCCTCTGCAAGACAAATCGCTGTCCCAGTCCGAGCCAGTTGCATTTGCCCCGTGTCTCTGCTCTCAGTAAATGTGCCCCACGATGGGAACGTCTTTTGTTTCTTTGTGTCCCCAACACCTGAGGTGACCATCTGGACGCTGCTCGGGGCTGGCTGATGGGCGGTGCCGGGTGCCGATGATGCACTTGAAGCTTATGCCGCAGCTTTGCTTTTGGAGGCGTTTAAAAATGCGGATGAGGCTCTCTCCCTGTATGTTAATTTCGTATCTGAATACACAAATGCTTTAGATACTTCTGTGAAATTTCCTCTCATAATAAATCCAGAGTTGATTAACTTGTAACTTTGTTGGTACTGGTATTTCAGCCAAGCAGAAGAATCCAGATGAGTTCCAGTTTGTCAGGTCTGAGAACCTGCAGGGACACAGCAAAATAAAGTCAGGGGCTTGGCCGGAGTTCTGATATGTGATTGTTTACTTTTCCTTTGTTGTGTGACCTTGAATAAGCTACTTAAACTGCTATGTCAGGTTACTAAGTAGTAAAGCACTTACTTTCATATTAGTCTATATACCTATAAAAGAGGAGACGGAAGTTGAGTGTCTCATTCATTCATTTATCATTCAGGTTAAGTTCCTACTTTAGGCTAGATCTTTGAGTCCAAGTAGATTCACTTATTCTGCAACTGTTTGTTGAGCCCCTGGTATTTGCCAGGGATTATGACAAGAACACCTGTTATTGGTGATATTCTAGTGGGAGAAGACAGAAGAGAGAGAGAGAGAGAGACTATGAATGACAGAGAAGTGGTTTTAGGAGCTCTGGGAAAAAATGGAGCATGGAAGGGAGTGCCCAGCTGGGGAAGGGGTAATGTGAGAAACCTTCACTCATAGGATGGTGCCCTTTATGCAGAGACTGAAAGGAAGAAGGATACTCTTCTCACGGAGAGAACAGGAAGTGCTAAGGTCCTGGATGGGCTCGTACTGAGGAAGAGCAAGGCCAGTGTAGCTGGGTCAGAGTGAGTGAAGGGGAGGGAGTTGTAAGCAATGAGCTTAGGTAGGAAGTGGGACTGTTCACATGGGAACTAGTAGGACATTGTCAGAACTTGAGCTTTTACCCTGTGACGTGGGCACCACCCTAGATGCTCCCATCCTAATCACCAGAATATGAAAATTTGTTACCTTATGTCACGAAAGAGACATTGCCCGTGGGCTTTGGAATCTTGAAATGGGAGATTATCCTGGATTGCCCAGGTAAGCCCAGTGTAATCCTAGCAGGAAGGAGGAAGGAGGGTCAGAGGTAGGAGTAGAAGATGTGATGACAGGAGCAAGAGGCTAGAGTCACTCATGGAAGAGGCCACAAGCCGAGAAGTGCAGGCAGCCTCCGGAAACTGGAAAGGCACGCAGCCGGATTCCAACCCCTCAACCCCGAGTCCTCCAGAAGGAATGCAGCCCTGTTGGCACCTCGATTGTAGCTCCATAAAATCTAGTTTTCGGACTTGTGCACTCTAGAACAGTGAGAGACTAGATTTCTGTTGTTTTTAGCCACGGCTTGTGGTCACTGGTTCGAGCAGCAAAAGGAAACTGATAGAAATGGGAAAACGCTGAAGGATTTTGAGCCAAGGCATAGCACGAACTGACTTTCTTATTTAGACACAGTCTCACGTGATCACCCAGGCTGGAGTGCAGTGGTGCAGTCATAGCTCACTGCAGCTTCCATCTCCCAGGCTTAAGCAATCCTCCTGCCTCCTGAAGCACTGGGATTACAGGCATGAGCCCCTGGTTCTTTGGCTGGTGTGTTGAAAAGAGACTGGAGGACAGAGCGCAAGGTGGAAGTGGAGTCCGAGAGAGAGGAGACTATCGT